ACCACACCCCGCCTAGGCTTTCAAAGCCACAGTGGACCCCCTACTGGTTTTTCCTTCTCCTGCCTAGGACTCTAAAACCATCTCTTTAACTCCTATAAGCATTCAAAAAAGTGAGCAGAGATTTCCCTCCCTCCCATCCCGCTTCGACCCATTGAACTCTTGGCCTTAACGAGTGTTATGTCCCACTGTGAATCGGACCTTTCTTGCCCTTGTGCAGGTCTCTATTCCCCCTGGGTGGGATCCCAATTCGGCGCCTGTGGCCAATCCTGCTCTCTCACACTCTCCCCACCCTTCTGAATGCCCCAGCCACATTCACACTAGCACTCGTTGAATAGGCAAGTCCTCCTCCCCAAACAAGGGAGAAAGAACTTTCCGGGGAACTCCGGAGGGAACGGATTTTTAAAAAACCCCCCTTCTGGCCCCCGGGCGAGGGAAAACACACCCGCCTCGGCTCTCACAACCACTGCAGACCCTAAAGGTTTCCTCTTCTCCTTTATCTCTCTCAAACTTTAAAAACTCCCGCGGCTGCCGGTTTGCAGCGGGTTCCAGGGGCCCCACGGCTGCTAACCCACGGCGGTTTCAGTAAAATTCTCTCTATTGCTTTCTCCCCCCTTCCTAAGGAATCCCACGACTGTCGGGCCACGCCTGTTGGCCCACAGCGGATTCTAAGGGGTCCCACGTCAAAAACTCTGTTTGACCGGCAGTAAAGATACTCCCCACCCGCCGCCCGGTCAAGTGCTCTCTGTCTGATTCGGGAAATCCTAGCGCTAGGTGCCTTAACCCCTCGGTTCTCCAGGAGAACCCTGGCTGTGCCAAACCTCTGTGACGATAGACTTTGCCACAGCCACACTTCTTGGACAGCTTACTCTTCGGGGGATGCCCCATTGGGTCTGCCTGTTCCCTATGGGGGGCTCATCCTCTCTGCCGGCCGATTCTCCTCTCAAATGCCTTTTAAACAATCTCTACCCTCTCTCTCTCTCCTGATATTAAGCTCAAGTGTCTAATTCACCTCTGCACACAGGACTGGCCCACATATCCCTTAGACAATCAAAATCAGTGGCCCCCCCAGGGATCCCTCAATCCTGATATTATCAGGGATTTATATAACTTTTGTGAGCGTTCAAAAAGGTGGGTGGAGATTCCCTATGTTCAATCCTTTTCTCTCCTCCATGAACATCCTCAGCTGTGCCTCACCTGTAACCCCTCTAACCTCCACCCTCAACTCATGCTAGCATCTACTGCTTCCCCTGTAACTTCCCTTTCTCCCATCGTTCCAAGCACGTGTAAGCCTCCTCCTCTAGATTCCCCTCCCCCTACTGCAGACCCTGCA